CTACAGTTTTTCGGCCTCACAATTTATCAAATTATAATGTCAACATTAGTCCTGCTTTAAACCATAATAGCAGTCATGAAAGCGAGAAACGTTTCTTGTCTCTCAAATTAGTAGTTAGTGAAATAAAGAAAGTTAAAGCAAAAAAATAGACCAAATATCTCCCAGAATGCTCAAAGAATTGCCTGTGAAAGGATTCATTATAATCACCTATATCTTCAACGCTATTGTGAGACTTGACTACTGGCCAAATCAATTCAAGACCTCTTTAATAAAGATGATTCCAAAAACTGGCAAGGATCAACACTTAGTCACATCTTATAGGCCAATCAGCCTTCTTCCTATATTGTCAAAAATTTTAGAAAAACTGTTGCTACAGGATATTTTGAAGGAATCCAATATCTTCCCTGATCACCAGTTTGGATTTCGTAAAGAGCATTCAACCATACAGCAGTGTCACAGGATGGCCAGTCATATCTATAACTCATTCGAATCCAAACAATATTGCACCGCCGTCTTTTTGGACGTCAAACAAGCATTCGACAAAGTGTGCCACGACAGACTCGTCACAAAAATTAGATTCTATTTACCAGTAAAGTATCATAATATCTTAACATCATATATTGTCAACAGAAAGTTTATAATCAAGGTTAATCCCTCGTCGTCTGACGTATTTCCTATCAAGTCAGGGGTACCGCAGGGAAGTGTGTTGGGTCCATTCCTATACACCCTGTTTACGCGCGATATTCCTACAACGTCTATTACCACAATCGCCACTTTTGCAGACGACATATCAATCTTATCCACTGATGACAACCCTAGTACTGCTTGTTTGAAACTGCAGTATCATCTTAATTTGATCGAAGATTGGACCAAACTGTGGAACATAGGCATCAATGAGTCTAAGTCTAGCCACATTACTTTCACTCTTAACAAACAATCGTGTCCTGCAGTGTTCTTAAATGGCAATCAAATTCCAACAGTCAGCACCATCAAATATCTTGGAATTCACTTTGACGAAAAACTCACCTGGCGACATCACATTTGCACTAAAGTAAAACAAATGAAAACGCGAGTTAAAGAACTCGGCTGGCTCATTGGACATAGATCCAAATTATCTCTAGAAAACAAGGTCCTTATTTATAATATGATAATTAAACCGTTGTGGACTTATGGTCTTCAGATTTGGGGCTGCTCAAGCAAATCAAATATTGCTCTCATACAACGGATGCAATCAAAAATTCTTCGTATGATCACAGGAGCACCCTGGTACGTAACTAATCAGATGATCCATAACGATCTAAATATACAGTTCGTTAATGTAGTCATTAAATCTATCAGTGAAAAACATCACCGGAAGCTTGAAAATCATCCAAACACACTAATGGCCCCACTGTTAGCAACTCCAAACAGCAGAAGATTGAAGAAGAAATGGCCGAGGGATTTGATCTAAGCAGGATATTACTTGATGAAGTGACCGCTACTAAATATTTATAAATCTTTTATTGAGAGAGTGTGTGTGTGTGAATGTCTGTGCGTATGTATGTACGTATGTTAGTGTATATGATAATTTCATAACATTAGATCATAAAATATGTAGGCTTCCAGTAAATGGCCGAAGGACCTGAGCCAATTAGTATACCACTTGCTGAAGTGATTACTATTATATAATTTTTTTTTTCTGTTAACGTGCGTGTGAGTATGTCTGTGTGCATGTACGTATGCATGTGTGTGTATATGTTAAATTTATCACAATAGCTCATAGGATACTTTGTATTCTGATTGCTGTTAATAAAGAGATAGAAAAAAAAAGAAAAAAAAACTTTATTGAAAATAATGTCAGTTCTACTACTCTTTGTTATACAACATCTTCTACTAGATATTCATTTAATAACACTCAATCTTCTTCTGTCATTGACTTAGCATTGCTAAAAAACATTAAAACTCCATACCTGCCATATACACTTTCTGAAACAAACTCTGATCACAATCCGGTAGTACTTACAATACCATATCATAACATCGAGCACATTCAACGTCATGCAAAATACAATTTTAAACATGCCGACTGGAATATATTTCGTGATTTTGTCTATAATAATATTAACTTTAAGCAGCAAATCAAATCTATACATGATATAGATAACGCTGTCGATCATTTAACAGTAACTATTCAGTCGGCTATGAAAGAATCCATCCCAACAACTAAAAACAGTTACGCAAATGATAAACTACCTGCTGATATTAAGGAGGATATAAAATTTAAAAATAAAATACGAAGAATATGGCAAAAAACCAACAATCCACATATTAAAACTCTTCTTAATAAATTAATTAGAGATATATCATTTAAAATCAAACAGTACAATAGTAAAATATGGCAACAAAAACTTTCAAACACCAATTATGATCACAATAAAATCTGGCAATTAGCGAAATCATTCACAAAACGAATCGACCCAATTCCAACATTAAAAGTCGGAAACGAGTCTTTTGTTACTGACAAAGATAAAGACAATCTTTTAGCTGATAACTTTCAAAGCATACATAATATCAACATCAATATAGGTTCAATTACTTTCAGTAATAGAATTAAATCTATTGTAGACAATTTTATTAAATTTAATCACTCAAAAGATTTTGACATATCACAAACAACTCCTAAAGAAATTAAACATATTATCAAACATAAGAAAAACAGCAGTTCACCGGGATCTGACCTTATTACCAATACTGTATTGAAAAATTTAAATAGAAAACCAATAATACTTTTATCAAAAATTACAAACGCAATTATGAAATTTAACTATTTTCCAGTTGTGTGGAAAACCTCCAAAGTTATTCCTATTAAAAAGCCTCTCAAGGATGCTGACTTACCGTTAAGTTATAGGCCAATCAGTCTACTAAGTTGCATTAGTGAAATAATAGAAAAGGTCATTTATATCAGACTATCCAACTTTTTAATTTCCAATAATATTATTCCTTATCACCAATATGGATTTAAAAATAATCACTCAACCATTCATCCCATATCCATCCTAATGCAGCAATCAGTTCTAAAATTTAATAGAAGAAGAAACACTGGGATGATCCTATTGGATATTGAAAAAGCCTTTGATACTGTTGGGTTGGACGGCCTCATTTACAAAATGATTAAATGGAACTTTCCTGTAGGACTGTAGGAAAACAGATCTTTTCAAGTGCACTTAAAAGATCAAATTTCTGCAACAAAATCCATTTCATCAGGAGTACCTCAAGGAAGTATTCTTGGAACAGTGCTATTTTCTATCGTTATATCAGATTTACCTACAGCACCAAGTACCAATTTACTAACATTCGCAGACGACACTGTTATATACACATCCGCTAAGTCCGACAGAACTATCATAATCAGACTTCAAGAACACCTGAATGCAATAATGGATTACGCTAATAGATGGAAAATTCGACTAAATATTCCCAAATCAGAAGCAATCTTATTTACTAAAAGAAGAAAATCTCCTGTTCCTCAATCCTACATACACATAAACGGCAATAATATATTATGGAGAGACAAAGTTAAGTATCTGGGCTTAGTAATGGATAGAAAACTCAATTTCAACGAACATATCAAATGCAAAATTAATTATGATAATAGATTATTATATTTATTGTACCCCCTACTAAAATTTAGCAGCAATATTGATTTGAAGATTAAGAGAAGACTTTATCTTGCAATGGTAAGATCAAATTTAACGTATGGAGCCCCTGCGTGGTGTATGACCAATAAACAAAACATAAATAAATTACAAATTATACAAAATAAAGCATTGAGAATGATACTCGGAATAAAGAGAAACCCTATCACTTATCATTATGTATCCAATCGCTATATACACAACCGACTGAATATACCATTTATGTATGAAATTATAAAAAAGCAAGGAAATTTTTTAACAAATGCAAACATAGTAATAATCCAACTATTACGGATATTGGATTTGTAACTCAAGATATGTTTTGGTACAACAATTACAACCTACCGACAGTCATTCTTAATAAATAACACTATAAGACACCTTCAAAAATCAACAGTGTGATATGTTTTTTTGTGATTTTTTTTCATTATTTATTTAATTTATTTAATTTATACAATCAATAATGTTTCAAATAATATATATCAATGAATTGTATTAGTATCAGATGATAGGCATTCAAAATCTTATATACTCACTTTTTCTTTTATGTAATATAATATGGAACAAATAAATCTTTTCAAACATTCAAACATTTCAAAGAACTTGGTTATTCATTATAAATTTTGCAATGTACTCATTCATTCAAATATTTGATTATGTAATTTTATTTACTATTTAAGTTTAAAAAAATACTTTAATCAATAGTATTGATCCATCATATTCAAATTTCAATCCAGATATTATTTATTTTCGGATTGATATGAATTTTTTTATAACAAAAGGTTTGAAATGTTGGTTGTCAAACGGATTCAAATTTCAATCAGGTGGATTTTATTAAGGGCCGTCGCAACGCGAGGCTGGGTATGGTAGTATATATATATATATATATATATATATATATATATATATATATATATTAAATGTTAAATATGAACAATTCAACACTCAGATTTTTAACACACACTTTATTTGGTAATTACAGACGTTTCGAGACCATGGTATGTCTCATCTTCAGTGTAATTTCAAAACAATTACTTATATGCTACATGTGTACGTTACGTATATACTACATTGTGTAGTATATAAGTAACTGTTTTGAAATTACACTGAAGATGAGGCATACCATGGTCTCGAAACGTCTGTAATTACCAAATCAAATGTGTGTTAAAAATCTGAGTGTTGAATGGTTCATATTTAACATTTAATAATAGTTCCACTCATATCACATAATTCTATATATATATATATATATATATATATATATATATATATATATATACATTATATCAGTTATTTATCTGTTAATGCAAAATTATCTTTTGACAGGCTGGAATATACTTCTTTCAACTGATTGATCACTATACAGCTTCTATATCTATAATGTATCTGGCGTTCTTTGAAATTATTGCTATATCGTGGTTTTATGGAGTACCAAGATTATCAAGAAATGTAAAACAAATGACTGGACGTGTTCCATCCTTATATTTTAGAAGCTGCTGGCTTTTGGCTGCACCAATGCTACTATTTGTGAGATAATAGATAACACATTTTTGTTTTATTATAAATAAAGTGTTGTATTATCAGATTATCCTAAATACCAATTCGTTATCACTAATTATACTAAAGGGTCAAATGACGCGTTATGTCCTATGACATCATATATAATTTTATTGTTTTTGCAAATGTGACCCAACGTGATCCATGTAAAGACCGACCCAAAAAATGACGTAAAATACAAGACAGTATAAGCTTTTTTAAATATGAATAATATTATGCAAATATAAATAATATTATAATATTAAAGTTAGTACCTATTATTTCTGCTAACGACGAACAGCTAAGTTATTCTCTTACTATATAAAGCAATGCAAAGCAAAGCAATATACAAACTAAAGCAATATATAAGCATTCATCGAAATATAACGGATCAAATAGCGAGAAAATCTGCTGCGAAATCTAAGTCAGATGGTCTTAAGTTTTTTTTTTAACTCCGCGAAAGAGAAGTTTATGTTTTCATCAAAAAATTCTATTTGCTAATTTTATGTCTTCTCGACGTTTCAAGCCATTCTGAATCGAATAAGACCAAATTTGGAAAAAGTATGTGTGTCTGTGTGTGAACAGATATTTTTTGACCGATTTCAAAAATTTAAATGCCCTTTGATGTATCTCTATGAGGACTGTTGTTTGTCAGTTGTGTGCGACGATCGGCCTAGCCGTTTTTTATGACAAGTGAAAAAAATTTGGTCCACGTTTTAGCTCGCAATTCTGAATCGATTTTGAAAATTCAAACACCGTTCGAAAGATATGGGAATTGACCCGTATAGTTTTCGGTAAAGATCAGCCGGGCCGTTTTCTTGTAATAAAGTGTTAAAACAATTTTTGACGATTTTTATGTTTTTTTTTTGGCGGTAGATACCATAGTCCATACTAAAATATTACGGCTCTACGACAACTCGTTTTACTTTAAAAATTCGTCAAAGTTTGCATAAATTAGTATCGTTTTTTTGGCATTTGTCAAAATTAGACATTTTATCGACTTTTGCTCAAAAACGCCTGAACCGATTTCAAACATTTAAAAAATAAAAGCATTTTGATGTATCATGATGAGGATTATCGTTTCTCAGTTTTGTGTGACGATCGGCCGAGCCGTTTCTTTGTAAGTAACTGTTAAAAAAAATTCAAGCCGATTCTTATGAAACTTTTTTTAGGGATATATATAATATTCTTATAGAACTAACTGAAATATTACGGCCTTATGAGAAGTAGTTCTATTTTAAAAATTCATAAAAGTTTGAGTATAAAAATTAGACGATTTAAACGATAGAATACTTGGTTTTAATAAACACATTAAATCATTACAGTCCTACAGAAACTGGTTCAATAATAAAAATTATTGATTTGTGAAAACTTGCTTTAAGAAAATACTCCTAGTTAATGTGATCCTTTGTTTTCAAATGTGTGTAATAAATCCACCACTTTTAATCACTCAGAAAATAATTTATTTTTTATTGATTATGTCTATTATTTACACATATCGGGAAGTTCGTGTAACTTGCCTCAAGGCAAATTACCAAAACCAACTACTTATATACTAGTTTTTGTTGAAGTTTGTACAATGAAAGCTAATTGTCTTATCACTGAAGCATAAGAACTAAGCGCCGATTTTCGAGAAACCCGTAAACAATGAAAAAACAAATGCGAAAAAAATATTGCCTAATAACGCAATAACATGCATCTATGCGTTGCAACAAATTCGTGAAGCACAAATAATGTGAACTTGACGTTTTATTAACTTCCCGTAGGGCAAGTTATAGTAATCGCAAAAAAATCGAAAATGAAAACTTTTATATATCTTTACGTTTCAAAGGTTTCTGAATATTTTGGCATACTTTAGAAAAAAATGGATGTATTTGTGTGTGGGTGCGTGTATGTGTGTGTGTTCGGATACAAATTTTCGTCGACGATTTCGGGAACACGGATGAAGCGATTTCAATAATTCAAAAAACATTCGATTCGTATTGATAAGGAGAAGTGCAGATTAGTTTTTGGCAAAGGCAGGTCTAGCCGTTCCGGAGATATGGGGCAAAAAGTGCAAAAACGGTAACTCAGTTTTTAAGAGAACGGAGCGTCCGATTTGAATAATTTAAAAAACATTTTACTTGTATTAACAAGATGAATAACTGATCAAATTTTCATGAAAATAGGTCTAGCGGTTTCGGAGATCTAGTAAAAAAAGTAAAAAAATGTCATTTGGCGGTCAAAAATGATCATTAGACATATACACATAAAATTATTAGATATTTTATAGAGATTTCAACAATAGTTATAAACTTTGTTTACATTCCTATGGGTTCCGTACCAATGTATATCTGTTAGAAGGCGACGCGGCGCTTACGTGCTTTGATATTTCGTCTCTATGCAGTTAAAGCAGTACGATTGCTTTGAAAAAAAGTTCAGAATTTCCAAAATATTTCAAAATAAATTTTACTTCGAAAAGACTTTTTTTTTAAAAAAGAACAAATTTTTGTCAAAAATTTATAGTATCTCAAAAATCTAATTGTTTCAAAGTAATTTTTTTTTTCAAAAATGTTAATCTTTATAAAAAAAAATAATTTTTGGTACGGGAAGTTCCAGCAATTTGCCTTAAGGCACGATGCCATGCGCCCCACTAGTTTGTAGGTTAATTTTGAGCGGAAAAGTGTATTAACTAGTAAAGCACGATATCGTGTATTAAGGCAAATTGCTGAAACTTTCAGTAGAAATTAAAATAATAACTAGTAGAGCGCATTGCATCGTGCTTTAACGCAAATTGCTGGAACTAAACATTCGAGGAATGAAAATAATCAATAATTGTTATGAATAATTTAAAATAGATTTTCTTTATTTATTATAAAAACCAACTGTAAACTTACAAGTGCTTCCTAAATTAAGCGACGAGCGTATTCTACTTAAATTTTTCAAAATTAAGTTTTTTTTTTTAAATGATGATAAATTTAGAAAAATCGATTTTTTTGAAACCTCGATTTGTTTTTGAAAATTTTGATTTTTTTCTTTGAATATTTTCAAAATTATTGAATTTTATGTAAACGCTTTTTTGCACACCCTCTACTCAAGCAAAATGTTTTTTAAATTAATGTCATCGGATGATCTGGTCTCTCAAAAACTGCATAATCGTTTTTACACCCTTTGCGCTCCATACCTCAGAAACGGCAAAATTGCCTTTTGCATACAAGCCTTGCGATCGTGTACGAACCGAATGATTATTCAATCATACAAATCGGTTATTCCATACTGTCGAAAATGTCGGAAATGTTTGAACCGTTTAAATAAACTTCAAAATTAAAAATCTTGGTAACAACCCAAAAAAAATTACAAAAATATGTGTTCACAATATTAAAATATCTGATAATTTGATGTACATGTGTCCAATGAACATTTTTGACCGCCAAATGACATTTTTTGAATTTATTTTTATTGAGAGTCCATAACCGCTGTACCTACCTCCCCCCCCAAATTGTTCATCTTGACAATACATGTAAAATGTTTTTTGAATTATTAAAATCGGATGTTCCGTTCTCTTAAAAACTGAGTTACCGTTATTGGCACTTTTTGCCCCGTATCTTCGAAATGGCTAGACCTGCGATCGCCAAAAACTAATCAACACGTCTCCTTGTCAATACAAATCGGACGTTTTTTGAATTATTCAAATCGGTTGACACATACATCCATTTTTTCATTCAACAACAATAATACGGAAGAAAAGATATAATTTATTTTCAAATTTAGCCAAATTTCTAAACTATGTTCAAATTTACTATTATGAAGATGATACTTTGTACGTTTGACCAGCCTAATCAGAATCTAATATTCATAAAAAATATTCTTTTTCGATTCGCTGCAGTTTTTGTGTTTTTCTTATTTTCACGATAAGTACAATCCCCACACTTGTAAATTTGAACATAGTTTTTATATAGAAATAAATTATTTCTTTTCTTCCGTATTGTTGTTGTTATTAATACAAAATTATAATGTTTCAGGAATCACTTAACATTTATATGATCGTAAGTTTTATAAGTAATATCAAAATAAAATTTTACAGGTGTTACGGAGGACTTTATTATTATATTCAGCAAAAAATATAAAATTAATCGAAAACTCAAATAAATGTTAATATTATTTACACGTGAAATTATAAATATGAAACAAAAATGATAAAAAAAATATTATATCTGAATTGGGAATTGAACCCCGGAGCAAAAATTAGAATTCCACGACGATAGCCACTCGGCCAATCTGCTATTGATAAGGAACAGCATCGCAAGCTATACAATACGCGCTGCTAAATTGCAAACTTTAATTAATTTTTATAATTTAACCGCTTTTCACAGGCCTCTAATATTTTACCACGGTCAGGTTGGGCATCAAATCTATCATTATGCCAAGTTTCATCAAAATCCGAGACGAGCAACGCGCGGGTTCTCCTCATTAGGTATGCCAAAATGTTCAGAAACCTCTGAAACGTAAATATATACAAAAATTTTCATTTTCGTTTTTTTTGCGATTACTATAACTTGCCCTACGGAAAGTTAAGAAGCAAATGAAAATTGATTAATAACTATAGGAATTGTTTTAAATATTTTGAAAAAAATTATTATCAGTACTGTAAATTTATAAGTACTTTTTTTTAAATCTTGAAAATTTAAAAAAAAAAAGTTGAATTTTTATAAAATATTTTGGAAAAATTTTTTTCAGAAACTAATCATTTCTTTACACTGTCAACACCAGCAAATTGGTTTTTGAATCACTCTAATCGGTTAATCGATTCTCAACCATTTTTTATACATTTTGCGCTCATGCCTGCAAAACGGCTAGACCTCGCGACCAAACTACCAACAATATCGCGGACATTTAATTCTACCATGTAAGTAAACTTTAAAAATTAAAAAACTTGTTTGGGAACCCCAACAAAATTAGCACTAATAAATATCAATAAAATATCTGATAATTTAATTTGCATATGCGCAATG